CTGAAGGACTACACTGAGGAGATCTACAGAGAAAAAAAGATAAGATATACATTTGGAAAGCAGAGGAAGTAATAATATGAAAAAACAGAGGCATTTAGAAACAGAAAATAGATAAGTAGTGTTTCATAGAGTTTTCTATAAGGACACATACATAAAATATGGCAAGATGGTTTTAAAAGATTTAGAATTCACAAAGTAGTAAGTGATATAAATTGAACTAGTCACCTAATTTTTTTTAAAAAGGGAGGATAAATACAGCTACTTGATGGCATGAAATCAAAGTACCTGAACTTTTCAAATGTTTTTTTAAAAATCTAGTAAAGAAGGCCTAAAAGTACAAAAGGCATGAGAATGTCTTTTTGAGTTTAGAAGAATGTGAGTTGATGATGAAAGGCTGACACCTAATAAGGCACCTAATAAGTAGAATGCAAAACAATAAAAAAGAAATAAATTCAGATGATATTCAAACAGTATGACTATATAAGATTGCATAAAATGAGCACATTGACAGATCCAAAACAATATTATCCTGTTGCATTTTATGCATATGTTAAATACAATAAAAGCATCAAGAGCTCTTATTAAAGTATCCATTATCATTTATATAAAATATTGCAATGACTTTAAAGTTACAGAACAAAATTTTGTTTTCTTTCTTGAATTGGTCAAATTTCTCTACACTTTGTGAACTGCATAGTGAAGATGGAATAATAATTTAAACTATTTGCTACTGTAGTTCTCTTTCTCCATTCTGTATATTCAGTATGGCCCATGAATTTCATGCAGAAATGTGTTTTGCAAGAACCAAAGTCACATGATTCAGAACTTTCTAACAACCAAAATGATCTAATACTCTCATAGATTTAAGTAGTCAAATTTTGCTTCATCCTTCCATTCCTCCCCGTATTTCCAGATATTTTGCAGAAAAATTAATTGACAGTATTGTTGGAGAGTAAATTACTTAGTTGTAGAAAATTTGGACTGTATATTCCCTTCCAATACTGACCAATACTAAAAAATACTAAGATGGTTCTAAGAAATGCAGAAGCATAATGAATAAACATTAATTCTCAATTGAAGTGAAATAGTTCTAACCCTTTCATGCAATTTTAATTGATATAAAACTAAAAGATACCATCACCAAAATATTTGAGGTTTTGAGGTAAAGAGCATTAGCATTATAAATGCAATCTGATATGATACCAGATGAAATATGCAATTATTAGCATGTGTTTGGAGGTGTATAAGCACTTACATCTTCTTCTAACTGCAAAATGCCTGAATTTCTCAACATTAGATCTTCACATTGGAATAGTTTTCTTCACTGTTTTTTCTTATCTTCTTTACCCAGCAGAGGATGTTGTAAACTACAGTTCCATGTTTTTCTCTTATTGCATTTTCCACTCTGCTGCTTACAGCCAATGAGTAAAGGTTTCACAGTGTCCCTATGTATATCTCTGCAGTCCAAACTCTCTCCAGAACTTGGGCCGTCTTTCCAGTTACTGGACTTAAGCTGGGCACACACACAGAGTCATCTGGTTAAGCCAGAGATGCTGGCAACCACCAGATAAACATGCCAAATCCTCCTGTAACATTGTTTAGGCACAATTTGGGGAGAGAGCCTTATTTTATAGTAGTACAAATATGCATGAACCTACTACAGAGCAGAACATAAAATTCGTATGAATGTTTAGATGAAAACTGGAGACTTGAAATAAAATTGATTTTGGTGGTGTTAGGTGAGTATATCATTGTTAGAGGTATTTAAATAGAAAAGTCTGAGAGACATCCTACTGTGCTAAATATACCTACCTTATAAATATGGATTCGTATTTTTGTGTGAATATTGTTACAGATGTGAAGGAAATTTAATAATAGGAATGGCCATAGACAAACTATGAAGTAGATCAAGTTTGTCTCTCACAACTGTCATCACCACTGACACCATCTCTCAGATTCTGCCCAGATCCAGTGCTGTCCCCAACTCTTAAAGAATCTGGTTTCTTTTCTTAACCTCAGCTTTCTGGAGACACATATTTTGTCCTTTCTTTATCAATATGTGCTCTTCTGCATTCCATTATCCTAAGATATTACTATGGGTGTAAAGAGATAAGCATTTAATGCTATAGATAATAATTTATATTAAGGTGGTAGTTATATAATAAAATTTTAGATGCCATCACCTTGGACATAACTTCCACTAGGCAAAATTCTACTGAGCTTTTATATCGTGCCAGACAATTTGCCAGGCACAGAAAACACAAAAATAAATAAGACATCAAAGATGAATAAGACTTATCCTTAGAAATCCCACCCATTCTTGCTGTGGAAGACAGATTAAAAAACAAGGAAGTGTCTTAGAAGTTGTGTTTCCACAAAGGGTACATGGAGGCGTAAAGGAGAGTTGTGTTGGTAGCAAGAGGAGTCAGAAAAGGCTTCTGAATGAAGGTGGCCCCTGGGATATGTCTTAGAATGTGAGCAGATTTAAACCAGACAGAGAAAGCATGTACTTCAGGCAAACACAGAACCATGACATGGCCCTGAAAAAAGGAAACCCTAAGCAGTTCAACCGCAGCTGAAGCAGAGGGTTGAAAGAGGAAGGGGAGATATAGGCCTGAGCCTTAGGTAGGACACCTGGGTCAGTGGCCACAGGCCCCAAACATCGTGGAAAATTGGCTCAAGGTCATATTTTTCATAGAGCTGGAAAACTGAACAAACCTGAGATTCATCACAACCATTTTCTTTCATCTTTAACAAGTTAGTCAAAGCCAACCAATCAACCAACAAATAATATATTTGTTTTATATCAGTAAGTCTGACAAGAAATTCTGTTTTATACTCCCCAGGAAAAAAATCAAATCTCTAGAATATATGCAATTTTTTTCTTCTTAAAGACAATATTCTCATCTTCTTCTTTGCTGTCCTCAATTTCCATACTGATAATTAATATCTTTAATTTTGATAGGATTTTATGGTAAATACATTTACATTTTATATGATGATCAAACAACTTTGTCATATATATTTTCACCCCCTTTTTTACAGATGAAGAAACAAGCTCTGAGCAGTTAAGTGACTTAGTCAAGGTTGCCCAAGTAAAGTCAGGATCTCAATTTCTGATTCCCAAAATAGTGTTCTCCCCAGGGTTCCCTTTACTCCAGTCAAGGTCCAGTCAGGAGACCAAAGCCACACCAAAATCTGAAGAGAAACCATTTAATTGAAAAAAAATATTAAGTAGGTAGTAAAACAGTATTGACTATTAAGAAAGGAAAAGATACCACTAAAGAATACAGAAATAGCTGCTGTAAGAAGTAGCTGCTACTTCAGGCTGTGGAAGAATTTAGAAGAACTTTCCCACTCACCCTCCACCCTACCAAGGCAGTCAGACCTCATTGGAATAATATGGCTGTGGCCCACTTGATGGTTAAGAAATCTGTTGAGGTGTCACACACTGGGCTCGTGAAGAAACCACCATCTACACTGCCAGTAAAACTTGCTAGGAAGCTGCCCGCTGACATACTAGTGAGACTCATTAAGAAGCCACACACTGGGGAACTGGCCAACTTTACTAGAGAGTATGTAGTATTGGTCTTTTGCACACCACTGTCCATAAAGCCACTCACTGACCACCATACCATAGGAGCAAGCAGAAAAAGCACTGAAACCAACAAGAGGAGGCTCTCCTTTTTGCAGTGTTCCTCTAACCTTCTGTTGACAAAGCCTGACATTAAGCTAACAGATCATAAAAAAAATGTTTGCAGATTCCAGCTCTGATATCACAATTTAAGGCAAAGAAGAGTGGATATGGAGCTGAGAAGCACTAAATTAATTGGCACATATCTCCATGACTCTCCGGGTTCTAGAGGGTAAACAGGATCTTATGCCAAACCCCTGTTCCATTTGTTTTGTTTTCCTAATTGCCCCTGAAAGAAAGAGCAGACCCAACCTTTGTGGACAGTCTTTAGTGAGAGCCAATATGACACACCATACATAGGTGTACAAGGTGAGAGTTCAATGCAGTGACTTGAGAGAAGGCCTGAAGCCAAATCACTTGGGTCTGAATGTTGGCTTCACCATTGACTAGATTGCAAAAATTCTTTCTTATATAACTCAGTCTCTTTGTTAGTAAACAAAGGAAATAGATAACAGTGCCTACTTTATTACTATGTCAGGAGAAATACATATATGTAAGGCCTATATAGTACAACGTCTAGCATGTAGTTAGAACTCGATAAATATTAGTATTTCCCATGCATGGTAGCTTGTAATTGGCGTCAAAAAAATACATATTCAGTTCTCACTATTTCCATTTAGCATCATATCTCCTTATGCTAAAACCCAACTTCTTTGGGTGAGACTGGGCTTTGCTACAAAGTCTTGCCTACTCCTAGGCACGGCCTGCAGCTCTGGCTTCCGATCCTGGCACTGCCCCTGGCTCACTGAATAATCCTCACTAGTCGCAGCCAACTCACTGGGGATCTGTTTTCTCAAGTAAAATAAGACACATGGTTAAACAAATCATCTATCTTTAAGATCTCTTCCAGTTCTGACTAAATTTGATCACCCCCATCTCTCCCAAATAGTGAGTTATACTTAAGAGGGAAAGGAAGGAAATTACCATTTTGAACGCCTACCCACCTGTGCCAGGCAAGCACTTTGCATGCTTTACCTGGTTTCATCCTTACCACATTCCTATCACATGAGTATTTTTAACCATATTTAACAAGTAAGAAAACTGAGGCTCTGAGAGGTCAAGCTGCTTACTCAAGGTCACTCTCTTGGTAAGCTGCAGCTCCTAGATTCAAACCTGGTCTTTCTGTTTGGGTCGACTAAACATTTTCAACTGCACTGCTTTCCTCCCACACCACCTTCATCTCAGACATTAAGAATCCTAACTGCTCAATGCTTTTCATGTTCTGCTTTAAAGAGATGAGTGGGTGTACAACTTTTTTTTGTCTGAAACGTATCATTTGAAAGTTAAGCAAATGAAATTCATTTACCAGTTAAAGGAATTAAAAAAAATCACTCCTAGTGTCTCACAGGAAATTAGCATTCCAATGAAAATCAGCAGCCCTCTTGTATCCTCGTGCTTCTGTCCTTAACTCTCCTCCAGGATGAAAACTTGGTGAAGGGAAAAGAACCCTGTTTGGGGGGCAGCGACCGAATTCCAGCCCGATTGTGCCGCTCTTTTCACCCTCGGAGCCTTCTTCCCTTTCTCTGTAGCAGTGGGTTGTTGGGCTAGGTCTTCCTCGTGTCTTCCCCAGGTGCAAGCCTGACTCCGGCGGTTTTCCCGGCCAGGGCGTGCCTCTGCCTTCCCTCCGCAGCAGGGTCCTGGGTTAAACTGACCATTTCTCTGAGAAGGCCGCTCACTGCAACCTCCCCCTCCAACACCCCCACTCCCAAAGCCCCTTTCTTCCCGCTTTTATTGAGGAAAAGTGAAGCCCCTTCCCCTGTGCCCTAGAATCGCCGCTCACCAGACAACCCCAGCCCTCGGCTAAGCTCCCGTCCCGCCGAGCGCGCGGGCGGGGCCGGCGCCGCCGCTTCACCTTCTCCCCGGAGTTAGAGTAACCGGCCTGCAGTTCTCCAACTTTCCCCTTCTCGGAGGGGAATTCTGAGAACTTTGCGAGGAACAAGTGATCGCATAAGTGACGAGATGAAACCTCTCTCCACATGAACTTGTCCCCTCAGCACGGCTTCCCGGCTCCTGGGCCTTCTCCCGCAATTCCACGCCGGCCCCCCAACCCCAGCTCGTTCTCACGGCAGAATCTGGCGCCAAGAGGCTCCCCGCGCTCGAAATGTGGTACCAGACGCCAAGCGCGCCAACTGTCCCGGTCCCGCTATTTCTGTTCGGTCCGAACCCACGTCTGAGGAAGTCGCGGCGTCCTCCTGGCACAGCAGCCTAGCGCACCGCTCGGCCGTGCTGAAGAAAGGTCCGCACCGGGCTCAAGGCCCTTCCTGCCGGCCTCCCCACGCCGGGCCTCGGCTCCCTCCTTCCCGGCTCCCGCCTCCTCCCGTAGGCTGCCAGGCGGACCCAGCCTGCCTCTCTCTCTGCCTTCACTACCGGGTCAAGCTGCGGAGGGAGGGAGCGAGACAGCGGCGAAACCCTCCCTGGCTCCCCAACCGGCGCGCGCGCCCCTCCTCCCTCGATAGCCTGCTCCCTCCTCCCCTGCCTCCTCCCCTTCTGCCAGTACAGTACAACTAGTACACACACACACACACACACACACACACACGGACCCTGCCGCTGCCACTGCAGCTGCCATGGATATCAGCTAACAACACACACCCAGGCGCGCGCGCGCGCTCCCACTCGCACCACGCAGGAGTGGCCCCCGGCATCCCTACCCTCCTCCCCCACCCCCACTCCACCCGCTCACCACCTCGGCTACCGCTCGCTCCGGCTGCCGCCGCCGCCGACGCCACCGCCACAGCTTCCTCTGCTGCGGGGCCACAGCCTTGAGTGTCATTCAAGGGACAGCACAACCTCACCCAAGCTCTCCTACCTCTGCCCAGCCGTCCCTCTCATCCTCCCCCTTCCTCGTCCACACTCCATCCAAAGAAGAGAGAAAGCACCGAATAGGGGGGAGGAGGAAGGCAAAGTCTGTTCTTTTCATCCCTTGGCCCCCTTGCTGCTCCATCCTCATTCTCTCACCACCGACCTCCCTACCCCAAAGGAGCCCTAGGAACTGAGGCGACCCACCCCACTGCCATGTCCAAAAGCTTGAAAAAGAAAAGCCACTGGACTAGCAAAGTCCATGAGAGTGTCATTGGCAGGAACCCGGAGGGCCAGCTGGGCTTTGAACTGAAGGGGGGCGCCGAGAATGGACAGTTCCCCTACCTGGGGGAGGTGAAGCCCGGCAAGGTGGTCTATGAGAGCGGCAGCAAGTTGGTGTCGGAGGAGCTGCTGCTGGAGGTGAACGAGACCCCCGTGGCGGGGCTCACCATCAGGGACGTGCTGGCCGTGATCAAACACTGCAAGGACCCCCTCAGGCTCAAGTGTGTCAAGCAAGGTGAGCGCAGCGCTGGCTCAGTGCTTTGCCAGGCGGCGGGACCGCTCGGGGCGCAGGGCAATGGAAGGGTGGGCGCGCGTGTGGAAAGGGGTGTGTTGCGCGACTGTGGGGTGGGGTCCAGAGAGGACCAGTGCAAGTGAGCTTTGCCGAAGATCCGACTGGGGGGCTAACGGGAGTGGTGGGCAGGTTGCCCTGTGGCGGGCAACTTTGTTTGAGCAGTTAGACCCTCCCCTTTGGAAGATGTTTGGCCTGGTCCGACCTCCTCAGAGATCCCGGGGCAAATTGAATGTGCGTCAGTGGCATCGCCCGCAGTGGATGAAGAGCTTTTGGGGAAGGACGGAAGGAAAGAAAGAGGGAGGGAGGGAGGAAGGGAGAAAAAAGAGGACGGAGCAACTTGAGGGTGCAGAGGCATCACCAGCAGGGCTGGGAAGAGCAGAGGGTGGTGGGGTGGGCGGAGAACTGCGTCCAGCGTTTCGGGAGCTGGCAAGAGACGCCCAGTTCCCCAGGCGTCCCCTAGGGATCCCTGAACCACTGGCTGGCGAGGAAGGGAAGGGGAAAATTGCTTTAGGCGCTTTGATGGGTCTTCTGTAACTTTTTCCCTGCCTCACTCCCCTGTCCCCCTCCCCCGCCCACGGTCGGTCGTGTCATGTGGGCATCGCGCGTCACGTGCGCACTGACTAACCCCGGCGCTCACCCCTAGCCAGCCCGCGGGAGGAGGCTCCGGAAGAAGGCGCGGCGCTAGGAGCGCTTTCCAGTGTTGGGGGGTCAGGAGGAGAGGAATGGTTCTCGGAGTGTACTTTCTCACGGGTTGCCCTCCTTGAGTGGAAGTCTTCTGTGGCAGGGCTCTACTCTGGCTCCAGATTTGGGGGGCGTGTTTCTGGGGAGGAGTTGGATGGAGATGCCAGGTGGTTATAACGCAGTCTCCCTCAGCTCCAACCTTTGATGAGCCTTAATTGAAGGCTGTGATGTGGATTTAGGGAGATTGGATGCAGAACTCTCTGTCTTTGCTTGAAAGAAAATTATGGTCCGGAAGGAGGAAATAAAGGATTTTGGATAGAGGACAATTTTAACTAGAATGAAATAGTGTATTTTTTGTTTTCCACAAGCCATTGCGTATTTTTTTTCTAGCTTACATGCACATTTGGTGTGCACTATGTATGTATGTATGTAGATGTGCTGCACATGTGTATTAGTCTAAGAGTTTGTTGTGTTACATTGTCCTGGCTGAAAGATGGAATTGAACATGCTATTGCTGGCATTTTGCCACTTAATCCTATTGCTTGATCAGCTACCAGGAAATGCTCTTAGGGAGATGTTCTGCGCTATAAAATTTTTCTCTAAAAAACTTGCTTAAAACCAAACAAGAGAAATGGAAGTCTCAGACAAAGTTTCTTAAATGTAAATTGCCATATAAGAAAGCAGTGTCATTGGGGATTCTTGAATATTAATAGCTGATGTCTTGAAATAGGCTAATGCGAACATTTACTTGTAAGTCAACATAGCTCAATACTGAATTAGGAATGCTGTGATACTGAAGAATATGAGTTAAGCAGGAAGGCAAATAGAGTATCTTGATGTTTTTCAAGCCTCAAACACAGGAATTCATGGCAACATATGTGATGATACTACCTTAAAGCTATAGATACAAATGTAAAGTTCTGGCTTTGGGCCCAAGAAATCTAGTACACAAGTAATGACCATGGTTTTGTTGGCAATAAACTTGGTATTTGTAATAGAAAGTGACTTCAAAGTTAATGTATTGTCCTGTAAATTGGACTAATAGTACTGTCTTACTAAGAGAAGTGATTGTCCTATTATAGTTTGCAATGACCACCACATCTTAAATGTTATATTCAATTCTAAGAACTACTTCCTGAGGTGGACCTTGGGAAAGTGTAACACTAGCAAGGAATAATAAATCCAGAAGAAAAAGAAAGGGAGATTACTGTATACTGTAGATATGTTCTATGAAATTCAGTGGAAAGATTCAACTTGGAAAAGTAAGGAAATGAAATGTTATTAAATACTGAAAAGCTATCAAATAAGAAAAATAATTCTGACTCTCTTGTTATAGTCCACAGAACAAAACTAAGATGAATGTACTGAAAAAGTTAAAAAATTAAGCATTTTTATCTTTATTAAAAAGATGAACTTTCTAACATAGCTTCCTAAAAATCTGTGAGCAATGTTGCAAGTTGAGGCTGCTATCACAGTGAGTGTTTGTGAAAGGTCAAAATGACCATATGCCATTCATTCCTATATAAAATGGGGACCTGGGCTAGATATCATTTAAATCCTTCCATGATTTGATCTGAGGTGGTCTCTTATCACTCAACTTCTATATTAAGTTTTATTTAGAACATTGTTGCTTTTAGAACTCATAGAATAAATACATGTGAAGTGATATATTTAGGGAAAATCTCTTTCCATCTTATATTAATCCTCAGTTCTGGACTTCACTGGTTTGTTGATGATATATTCTTGTAATGATGTTCACAGAGCTTCCACAGGAACCTGATTCACATCCTGAATCACTATTGACTAAAAAATATATATATTTCTTTTACCTTTTGTGGAATAAGTACTCCTCTTCCATATTTTTTATTTTATGCTATTTTTTAATTGACAAATAATAATTGTTCAAATTCATGGGGTACATAATGTTTTAATATATTTCTACATATAGGTCAGATCATGGTAATTATCATATCTATCATCTCAAACATTTATCCTTTCTTTGTGTTGGGAACATTAAATTAAACATTATCCTCCGTCTAGGTATTTGAAATAGTATAATATGCTATTGTTAACTATAGTCATCCTACAGTGGTATAGAACACCAGCACTTATTCCTCCTATCTAGCTGTGATTTTTTAGCCTTTAACAAATGTCTCTCTGTCCTTCCCTTCCTCCTACCCTTCCCAGCTGTTAGTATCCTCTTATTCTTCTAAGTATAGTGATCCATATATACTCTTCTTTTGTTGAAATCATTTTCCTTGTCAATAGATAGGTTTATTTATCATTGTAAGTAAAGTGAAATTTTTAGAACTTTTAATATAGGGCCTGTGTGTCTTGGGTTTCAGTACAGATTTCATTTGCTGGAAAATTATTTAGAAACTCTTGGCTCAGTAGATATATTTCTGGAGAGCTAAACTTAAAAACTTCAATATGGTTTGTTTAGCAGTTATATTTTTAAAATATTAATGAAATTGATTTTTGAATATTCATTAACATATTGAGCATTACATGGAAACTACATGCATACCCATAGCTAAACTAAGGCAGATTTTTGTAAAGAAAAGGAGAGATTTGAATAATGAGGATATTGTTAAAAAGTGCACTGGATAAATTGCATTATTTACTCAATTTTTATTTGCTTGGCTAATTTTACATTATAGTCATCATAATTTTAAATTATCATAATTTTAAAAGAAGATGAGTTACTGGGATTTTAACACATGCTAGAGAAGATATATGTATCACAGTTTTTCTACAAGGTTTAAATATCTTTAAAATTGTTTTTAAAAGCTGTTTCATTAAATTCGGGGATTCCCTTTTTTAATTTAAGCTGTCTCCTTTTAATCCACACAATAATATACCATTTATAAAAAATACCATTTATTGTCACAATCCTTTTTTTGTAAATTATGACTTTTCTGTTTATAATAATAAACTCACCAAAGTATTTAATTCTAAATTGGCATTTCTCTTCTATGATCTCATAAATGCATCAGACCCAGTTGAAGAAAGTTACTTGTGTGATCTGTGCTGAGGTGCTAAAGGTTTTCTTTTTCTCTTTCTTTTTCTTTTTTTAAAAGTTTGACACTAAACTTCACAGCAGCCAGTTACATAGACCTTTGTGTCCTACATTCCTTGCACTATGGCTGCTAATTCATCTAATACCACATAGGGACCTACATAGCCTGGACTTATTTTCCCATTTAATATCTCACAATGGAAAAGAAAAGGAAAAAAAGTTTTCTAATTCTTCCCATGTGGAAGATGGGCCAAATAAGGCCTTTGAAATTCAGTTCTAGAGAAGATCTACATTGCTCTCCCTCCTACTGCTCCTTTCAAAGACACTTTCAA